CGTGGCGAAGACATCTCCTGCCCCTCAATCTCCATCTCTTCTGCCTTTGGGGGTTCTGAAGGAGTGTACTCTTCCATGTCTTCTGGTGGAACCATGGGTTCATCAAAACGGCCCCCCGATCCAGGGGTCGTTTTGCGATGCAGAATCTCGTCTTCTGCTTCCTTCTGCCTTTCCTGTTCAGCCTTGATCCTTCGACACTTCGCCGAATGTCTCATTCCTGGCCCATGCATCCCTGATTCACACGCAATGCAACCCGGCGTCTTCACATATGGTTGTCCTGGAACATGGCCTTCAAACGTGACTTTCTTCGATGATCTTTCTCGTTCTCCTTGCGGCGACAACTGTGATGGCAATGGAATTGGAGGCATCTCAGCGTCTTGGGCACTATCATCAACCCGCAATGGTGCCGGCTGATCAACACGCAAGTCCGACTCTCCTTCGTTCACATGACCAAGAAACCCCTGTCCAAGCTCCAAGGACCATGCACAAGGAACAATGGGTCGCACATTCCTTGCACAAAACCTGTGAACCTCCGATCTGCCATCCACAACAATCAACCCTTGAACAACTGCGCCTGTCCCCATGCCTGGATGCACGAACGCGGCCTCAACCGACCGAGAACAATTGGGCGCTAGCGCCCTGATCGAGTCCGGGATTTCCGCCAGCACAGTAGCTCCAAACATGGTGCACGCAGGTTTTGACAACGGTCGATTACACGCAATTTCTAAAGGCGTCATGTTTGTCTCCTTGGATTTACCAAAATGGTTGTGCATCAACGCGAGGTATGTCATGCTGTCTTCCAACCCTTGCTCTGAAAAGCGTACATCCACATTGTGTGCTTGCATGTCCTTGCGCAATACACCCAAATCTTCTTTCAACCGTCTCACGTTTCTCTCTGCTCCTCCAGTCGAGCGATGTTGCTGTGGTGCACTTCGACGTACTTGGAACGCATAGTGCTTGCTGGACCTGCCAACAAGTTCAGCCACGGCTTTCTCTCTGTCAGTGTGCAAAATGATACTGCTGTTCTCAGACGTGAGTCCAAAATGCTCAAGCCACAACAGGATCTTGGAACGCACTTTTGCCACATCTGCCCACACTGGGACATAAGCAACACATCCTGACAGACGCTCGCACATAACAAGAACCTTGATACTGGTGGCTTCGTCTTCCGTTTCACACAGCTCACCAGTCTTTGAGAGAAACGCAAAATCTGCTTCAATTGATGCTTCTATCCCTGACGCACTCTTCCGCCGATGCTGAAACACGCTTCGACCCTGTGCACACACGATGCACCGCGGGTCAAAAGGAAAATGACCCTGCAATCGATGTCTCTGCAATTCTTCTTCTGAGGCTCGTGACAAAGGTCTGAGGTCCCCGCCTAGACCTTCACGAACATCTGCCACTGAGGTCATTGTCAACTGCTCCAACCCTCTCACGGACGGATAGAGACGAACCCAGGGACATCCTGCATACGTTGCCGTTTCACCTGCCACAAAACCTGAAGCAACATGTGTTAACACAACGTTGTCAGGTCTTTGCACAAAACACCATCCGGCCCTACAAAGCATGGTTGCGCTTAGAATGTTATGACTTGTTGAACCTACATGCACTTCCAAAGATGCGCTCTTCCAGTGTTCCTTTCCGTTTGTTTCATCAAACATCAACAAGTCAACATTCAAACTTGCCAGACCTTTCATGGTGACGCTTGTGCCATTTGCTGCTCTGAATCGTTCTCCTACCGTCAACGACTTCGTCTGAGCTCCATACGACTTGGCAAACGTTTCTGAGAGAACAGTTACACTAGCTCCTGAGTCTAATAACCACCAATTCATGTCGTCATTCAAGGCGAGTTCTGCAAGGAGGGGTTCAACACAGGGCACAAACTGTTCAAACCTCTTTGCACAAGACATGGTCTGGTTTGCAAACTGCTCATACCAACATGCACACTGCACAACTCGAATGCATCTGGGCGATGTGCAAATAAGTCCCTGCAGTTCCCACGGAACCGACAGGCTGTCGTGGCTGGCAGGTGTCACAGGAAAAACATGAGCATCTGACAAACTAAGATCTCCACAGCTAGGCTCCGTACTACACGCTAGTAGTAAGGGTGACAACACTAGGCTTCCAACCGCTTGACCTGGCTCCTCCATGTCATTGGCTTGCGTCCCTTGCGTCGGACTCTCATCCGCCCACCACGCATCAGGGTCCGGTTCGTCCCAATCATGAGAGCTCCACGCATGCCACCATGCGTCTGTGTCCGATTGAGTCCACCAGTCATTGTCATTGTCCGTCGTTTCGTTTTCATACACTAGTTCATTCATCTTTCCTTTCTTACCATACTTGCCTTTTCCTGTTCCTTTCGACTTTCCAGGACTGTTTCCTAGATACCCTTTTCCGTCACCTGTTCCACGTTTCGTTTTGTTTGAGCTCCCCGGAAACTGGCTACAGTTCAAACCCACGTGACCATGCTGTCCACAGCGAAAACACTTTATCTTAGTCAGATCTACTGTGCAACTGCTTGTCTCATGCTTCCTACTGCCACACTTGCTGCACTTCCCTTGGCTCCCAACGGCGTCGACTAGACCAGCTTCGCCATCATCTCCAAGCCAAAACCACTCAGCGTTGCGCGAAACCTGTGACACGCCCTTACCTGCCTTCGGCGACAGGTCCTGTAACAAACGTTGATTGTGCTCCCAACGCCGTGCCGCCTCTCGGTATGCCAAATAGGAATCTCCTGCACTGTGGCGCAAGACAAAAGCTTTCACCTGTTCAGGCAACGACCTGATCAACACTGTCAACAAGTCAGCGTCCGTCAACTGCAATCCAACTGCATCGATACCTGCCGGAAGGGTCAACAACAACTTCTGAAATCTAGCAGCTTCCAAGTCCAGCTTCCTGATCACATCGGAAACCAAGGATGACGGACTTGTCTCATTCGCCTCCAATTTGAAGCTCTTGGTTGCCAACGAAGTCCGAAACATCAGAGCCTCATTCCTGGTCCTCAAGCTGTATTCAATGGTGAGTTGCCGTAACAGTTCAAAACCGTTCCCTTCCTGACTCGAATCTGTAGCCCCAAACGAAAGTGACACAAGTGATACTCCTTCAACAAATGCATTCACAAGTGTACATGTACGGGGATGCTGCGAAAACGTTGACTTCAAGATTGCCAACAGTCTCATGGAACGTGCTCTCTGTGCAACTGTCATTGAGCTCCAGGCAATCGCCGTCGGCCACCGTGCCGCTTGTGATATCTCATGCCCAAACTCCAACGAAGCTTGAGAAGCCCAGCTTCCCAAATCACTAAGATACTGGCTCCATCCCAGCACCTCTGACTCCCTATCCTTCCAAGTCTCAAACCGAGGCGTTGGTGGTGTTCCAATCCACTTTTCAGATTTTGCAAACACATCAACTGGTTGATTTCCATTACCATTACCTACATTTCCTCTTTGAGTTCCTGGTTGCTGCATACTCACACTAGGTAAAGGTAAGCCCGCTGCCTGAAGGTCCGGAACAAATGGATCTGAGCGCACCGCGGGAATCTGTCCAAACATCTCTGGCGACTGCTGTCGTGTACGTATCTGTTCCTGCAAGAACTGAGTCAACTGCAAAACCTGTGCAAATGACAAAGAACTGGAAAGATTCAACACATCCTGCACACTCGTTTGCGCATGACTCATTGGTGCACATGCACTCATGCCCATATTCACACATGGCATACACTGGTGTGGTGTCATACATGGGTGTGCTACATTCGGAGGTATACACGCCTGTCCACCGAATCCTTGTTGCGAATACTGATGCTGTTGCTGCTGCACGCCATTACAGCCCCTAGCGCCTTGTGGATACATGCCTGTCTGCTGAAATGGGAATCCTGGCTGCGTCGCAAAGCCTGACGACCTAGGAACCTGCTGCTGATGCTGAACATTACTTCCACTACTACCTGACGACCAACCTACACCTGGCATCCTGGGCACTTCCTGTCCGTGAAACGATCCTTTGCCACTACTTCGGTTCCCGGAACTAGGTGGTGATGCTACCGGTATTTCCGCTGCCTGCTCCTGTTGCTGTCTTACCTGCGCGAGTCCTAACTCTGCTCTCGTCGGCGATCCTGGATCGTACATTACTACAGCCCACCGTACAGGGCTCCGCTACCATGCGAAGCGCCACCTCTACGCGCTTACTAAAGACGTGTCGCTACAAGCACGCGTGCAAACGACCTACGTCCCACGAACGAACGGACGAGCGACCGAGACGACTCACAAAAGCGGGTGCAAAGCAAACTCCAGCAAACTTTTCACTCAGGCAGCTCCGGCTTCGGTTCACCACCCCAACAAACAAGGTGACTTTCGTGTACATCTGCTTTACATCTGTCTTTTGACTTGTCTATGCCTTGTCTGCTCTCTGAGCCAAACATTAGGCGATCCAAAAGCTGCTCTAGCAGATCGCCATTCCAACCTTCAAATCTCCACGTGTCAAGTTCCCAAGACACAAAGTACATTCTCAACTCTAAGGTTGCTTTGGAGAAAAATGCCAAAACACACGAAAGTGCTATCAAATGTATGTTTCGTTCAGCACTTGAAAATCCTATACAGCTCGTGTGCTCAAATCTGCAAACATCTAGCTCTAAAGCTCGTCTCAAAATCTGAATTCCACTCATGCCCCAAGGACATGTCATTTTGACATTTCAGATGGTAAAAATGACCATCTCACCACATCATCACTTGCGCAAGCCAGCTCAAGCAACAAACGGCCTTCACCAGCCATCGTAGTGCATCCAACATGCTCTGCTGACATCACACCACCATGCAATGCAGCACTCAAAAGCACACTGCACCAAATGGATCTCTGATCCCACAGCTAACCAAGCAAAGCCTCAAAGGCCCACAATGCAGCGCAAAGCTCTCACCAAACATCCAAGCATCGTGAGTTCAAACATGCCAGTCAGCAAGGATGCCACATGGTTCATATTGGATTTCCACACCCCCTTTTGGCATCGTTGCTCATGCCCTCTTCTTCAAGATCCTCCGATCCTGCGTGCCCGGAATAAAGGTCGGCAGCTGGTGCTCATAGGAGATGAAATCTTTGAACTGCCCCTTCATAGTGTTAGCCCGAGCCATCAACCAACGACAATACTGCACATGGTCAGAATTTGTCGATGCACGAAGCTCCTCATAGCTCAATCGCTCTGCTGCAACCTTGCCACTTGTCATTACGGTCAGCCCCCATGTCGATAGGTCCGGAATTCCTTCCGGCAAGCCAGCCTTGACAGTCTGCTCAAGTTCCGGTGCTTCCGGCGCCGACACTGCAGCATAGCTTCCAACTCCTCGAGCTTTCGGGCGTGGCTCCATTTCATCACCCCGACGCTTTGCCGCATCAGTCATAGCACCTTGGGTCATTGCTCCACTTCCTCGAGAAGCTTTTGCCACCAATCTCGTGAGCTGCACTTGCTCCTCACCCGTCAATCCGACCAAATCGAATTGCTCATCAGCTGCTTCAGCCGCACTTTGGCTTGCCATGGCTCGCACACGATACTAAGGCCAAGCTGTTTCACACAAACTTAACCAAAAGGAAAACACCGAACCAGCAAAGCCCCCAAAAGGAACCTCCACCGGAAACTGCCGAGAGCAAATCGCTCGCCAAAGCCCACTTCACACAAGCTTGAGCGAGAACGCCTCACGCTCTCACCTTCCACGAACTGCGTTCAACGATCCTCCGAATTTCTATGTTTCGCTTCACGAAAACAACTCCAAAGAAACGTTCCAAATGCACGTGTATTTTTGCCATTTTATGGTCCTCCTTTGGAACCAATCAAAAAACTTTTCTTGGTGTACATTCGCGCATGCACAAGAAATCACTCACAGCGGTGCGCGCGCACCTGTGCATACATGTCCTATGGTATGCATGCTTCTATGATGCTCACAAACACCCACACAAAATGCCGATCTTTGGGCAAACTATTAGGTGCCATACCTAAGGTCGTGACAACTAAATCTAAGCTCCAGGCTAAGGCCACAGCGATCTAAGGCTCCGATCTAACTCTAGGCTCCATACACTATGGTCTCAACCACTAAGTCGGTGACACACACATGTCCTACGTCCTCTCACGGATTCTTCCGTGCTTGAGTGACTGCCCGAAGGATGGCTCTTGCAAGTTGCCTCGAATACGCTGCAGTTCTGCTGAAATCTACGTCGTCCATGGGCGCATGCTGGGCGCATGCACACGATCCAAACCTTCGATGCAACGATTCTGTAAACCCTTTGCTTGTCGAGACAAAAGCTAAAGCCTTTCCTACTGGTAGGTTGTTCTTGCTCACAACACCCGTTTGACACAGGTACACCTTACACACCTGGTTCAAACCTAACTGCTGCAACACCGTTGTAGTCAAATCTCGTTTCCATATGCTATTTCGCCATGGTAGTTCAAAGCTACGCGAATCTCCCTTTTCCATGATGGTGGGAATTGCCTTCATGATGGATTCCCACTCAACGTCACTTGCAGTCGGCTCTCGATCACCTGTGAAGCCCTTCAGCGGGCTACCGCTGGAACAAGGTGTGGATGCGTGCACATGAATCCAACGTCCAGCTTCACGATGTTGCCTTAATAGCTCTCCAACTTGTCGTTGCAACGCCTTCGACTGCACATCTGACACAATGCCAATGTAAGGAATCTTGGAGGTCTTGCACGCCAACTGCAACTGGGAACCCTTCTCACAACAAATCTCTACAAAAACAAACGGATACGCCTCTTGAACTTCAACTACTGCCTGATTCAACACATGTAGATCCCTAGTTGGCCCACAAACCTCTTCAAATCCTAACCACGACACATACCTGTTCATGAGTGTGGTGCTTAAGCACTTCGTGTACATGTCTGCTGCGTTGGCGACTCCTGGTACAAACTTGAGCTTGATCTGCTGCTCTGCAATCTTGTTCTGTAACCATGACAATCGTATTTCTATATGTCTGGACCTTCGAGGGATGTCAATGCCCTGAATGAGCTGCTGCGCCGATGCCGAATCCGTCAACATCACTGTCATGACCTGGTCTGTGTCCGAAGCTTCACCCAGGCCCACCATGATCCTCTTCACAAGCTTGGCCAATGAAGTTGCACTTTGGCATGCTGCTTGCAATGCGTACGTTTCAGCCTCACACGAACTGAGCGCCACCGGTTGCTGTTGCTTGGCTGCAGTTCTAATGAGACCTTGTTCAAACGTCAACACTTCACCGGAAATGCTCTTCCGCATATTGAATCGATATGGTCCGTGCGACGCGTCACAGTATCCGTGAATGTGAATACCCAACAAGTCCTTCTCAACATGGTCGATGGGAAACTGCGGTGAAGGGAAAACCAAACTGGCCTGCCTATGACCTAAAAGATACCTCATGACTGCTCTGAGCGCTGCTTCTGTCGACTGCGTTGGATCTGCCTGCTTCACCCCAATCAGCGACAACCACAACTTGATTTCCTGTCGTGACTGCGACAGCCAAAGCAAGCGACCAAGGCACCTTCTAAAACGTTGGTATGCTTCTGGGGATAACCTCTGACCTGATGCCTCGTCGGTCTTCTCCAACTGAGCTGCCACATCCGGCGCGGCCTGAGACCCTTTCTTGATGTCATACTCGGCAAACGAAGAATCAAGATAAGAAGGAGAGACATACATCGCCAACTGATCAGCCTTGGGAGTCTTGTAGATCTTTCGACCCAAAAAGTCAAGTTCTCCTCCTCCTTCGTCTCCAGGAAGAATCTGTCCTGTGACCTTCACTGGAACAACTGCTGCTATGGCCTTCGTGATCATCTCCTCAGTCTCCTGATTCGAACTTCCAACAAGTATGTCATCCACGTAGACCAAAAGGACACTTGATCCGATCTCTCTTCCTTTCTTATCCCTGATAACCCCTTGATAGAGGCAGGGTTCTGTCTCATCCGACGTCATGCCAAGCACCTTGATCGTGGATGACAACAGCAACAACCAATGCAAACTAGCGTCTCTCAACCCATTCAACGATCGTTCCAAAATCAAAAACGCTGGCTCACCACTCTCCAAGCTCACACTCTGAGGAAGCTTCAGGACAATCATGGATCCCTCAGGGAGAGGGGAGTGCATGAATGCATGTGAAATGTCGAGCGATCGAAGTCGAAACTGTCGATTGGCACATATAGTCAACACTAAGTGCAATGCCTCTGCTGCTGGTGTGGGACTAGAAATACCCAAGGCTCTCGCCGAAACACCTGAATGCAGATCTTTAGCCACTATCCTACATCGGACACGCTCTTCCGACTTGTATGCTGATACCCACCGAGAAGGGATGATCCGAGCATGTGGATATCGTTTCTTCAAACTCTGTACCTCAAACCCATCTGCTAGACGACCGGCCCGACATGACTCCATGTTCCTAACCTCTTCTAGCATGCCTTGATACCCTTGATCAACATTCAAGTTGTCTAGAGTACTGTCGTCAATCACCTCGTCTGGTTTCCAAACCAACACATGTCCTCCACCGATCCGGATTCGTGTCGTCACATGCTCCTTCCCCGGTTCAAATTTGATAGAATTCATGGAAGTGACATAGAAGTCTGGGGAGGTCAAGTCTGATCCGTCGGCATGTGATGCTGTGATGCAAAGCGGCATTGAAGTTGCTGACCACTGCAAGTCCTGAAGATATTCAATATCTTTGGGTTCTGACCGAATCTCCTTCTCCAACTCTTCTGTACTCACATCGGCATCACGTTTCACCCCCTTTTGAACGTCACCTCGTGGCGAAGACATCTCCTGCCCCTCAATCTCCATCTCTTCTGCCTTTGGGGGTTCTGAAGGAGTGTACTCTTCCATGTCTTCTGGTGGAACCATGGGTTCATCAAAACGGCCCCCC